CCCCAAAACCCCAAAACCCCAAAACCCCTTTTCTAGCAGGTATAATTGAAACAGAATTATTAAACACCCGTGAAATGGTTCAACTGGATTATTACACTTGTAAAAATTAAGATTATTAAAAAAATAAGTGTCCAAGTCAGAGCCCCTGTTTCGATTTGAACCCTGCTTCTTAATTTATAGCACAAAGTTTTAAACTAGGTCACTATTATTAATATTTCTAAGTTACTCAAGGAGGCTTTAAGTATAGTACCTATGGAAGTTCCATAATGTTCATAGGAGTTTGCTTCAGATAAATGAGCCCTTAGCATAAATTATTAGCCAGATTTCTCATATTCATGACAAGCAGATCTGCTAGAAAATTTTAAGGATAAGATATTTTCCTAGTTTTATTAAGAGTAAATGAAATCAAATTCGAAATTTTTCGAAGAAATTACTCAGGTGCTTTCTTTAATGTCTTGTAAAAGAATTAACTTAGATATCTAGATTTATACTAATAGAGTCTTCGAAATAATTATGCTAGCTTTTTTGGAATTCATCATAACTTGTCAATCGCTTGTGTAGTAATCAACTTTGAAATTATAAAAATTGTGTCTAACTTAATAGAAAATTGTTCATTTTACAACCTAATTCATTAAAGCTGCCAATTACTCAACTTTATATCTCTCTGTCCTAGAATCCTGGGCTTTGGCTTAAGTAATAATTTTCTTGGTATGGAAATTTGTCCAGTTTCATTTATTCCAAATTGAGGAAGTAGGGATGAATTATTATAGTAAAGTAACTGGTAATGACTAGAAAATTGCTTCAACCCTCTCTGAATTCATATTTACTCCCTTATTACTGCCTAAAAATCTGCCAATTGGAATAAGCATATATTTCACTTAGAATTAGGTCCTAATTTCGCTGAATTTGCGATAAACTCCTATTTCTTCCTACAAATTCTCTTATTTTATTACTACAGTAAGTCCTTATTAGAAATCACTTAAGGAATCTTTACTCTCTGTAATTGTAGTGAACCTTAAGGCTCTTGTGCTCATTATTTTAGCAAAACCGGTTTTTTATTACTTCAAAGGGCTTAGAGACCTGAATTATGATTAACAGTCTGATTGTGCCATTGGAGGTAATTAATAAGAATTAGCATTAAGATACTCTAAGTCTTAGTAATTAAGTACAGCTTCGTGAGATAGGAAAATTGAACGAGGCTCGATCACTAAGTGAGTCAAGAGAAGATTTTTCCATTACCTACACTTGAGACTCAATTCGAAATTATGGTTGATAGAGAATAGAGGAAGATTATGATATTATGACAAAAATGGAACGATTTAAGTCTGAAGACAAAGACGGCAATAATAATTAAATTCATCAAGGAAAAGGTATGAATAGTGATTTAATTGATATTTTATGAAAAATTAAGATTATCAGCTGATAAGCCACTCCTTCTTCGAAGGTTGTAAGAAGAGTTAAGACTTTTTGTGGAGCGAGAGGAGGATCCTTGAAGAAGGAATCATTTGGCTCTCCTCACATTTTTCTTTCCAATTCGCAAATTTGATTTCTTCAGAGTTCTTAGGGAAGTGAAGTATACCAGATGATGAAGATTTTTTGAGTCTTTTCATAACTTTGTAGCAAGACCCACCAGCTTTTGAGTTTTGGGGAAGTATAAAAGTCGACTTTGGTAGGTTGCCTCCTCTCCTCTTGAGCTTTTCATTTGATTCATGAAAGCAAGAGTCCTCTGTTAGAATAGGCTTATTTGAAATTGTTGATGAGCTTCTGGATTTTCCAGTGACATCTCCGAGGGCATTCGCATTCCCTTTCCAGTGGTAAATGTTATTTTTGGTAGGAGACTCACTGTACTCTTCAGAGACAGTTCAGGAAGAATCATCCCAAAATTGATTTCTTGGTGAATTTGTTTTCATTGTAGTAAATTTTAATTATAATTCTGTATTTCAATATTTAAGCGAAGGTCTGGGGTTTTGGGGTTTTGGGGTTTTGGGG